ACTGAGCCACCCAGGCGCCCCATTATTATTTTTTAAATGTAGGTATTATATCCACACAGTAAAATACATAAATCTCCCCAGTGCAGGGCTCCATCCCAGGACCCCGGGATCATGACCTGAGCCGAAGGCAGACAGACGATTAACCGACTGAGCCACCCAGGCGCCCCATCACTAGGTTTTATAATTAAGATTTGTGGGGGCGCCTGGCTGGTTCAGTCAGTGGAGTGTGCGACTCTGGATCTCAGGGTTGTAAGTTTGAAGTCCACATTGGGTGTAGAGATTACTTAAAAATTAAAAAAAAACATTAAAAAATAATTAAGATTTATGTATTCTTAATTTTTGGTATTCCAATGGTTTAGTAGTATCTCATTGTGGTTTTTGTTTTCATTTTCTTGATGAGTAAGCACTTTACCCGGCCGTTTGGAGAACCTTTTTTTTGAAAAGTGCCTGCTCAAGTCGTTTGCCCAGTTTTTGTTGGTTCTTTGTCTTTTCCTTACTGGTTGGTGGGAGTTCTTTATAATTCCAGACATGAGCCCTTTGTCAGATATATGTATTATGAATGTTTTCTCCTGCCGTGGTTTGCTTTTCCACGTTCTTAGTGACAATGTGTTTTGATGAAGAGAAGTTCTTGATTTTAATTAAGTTCCATTTACCGATCTTTTCCTTTTATGGTCACTTTTTTTTTGTATCCTGTTTAAAAAATCTTTGCCCACTTCTCACTGCATTTGATTTACCCATGCTGTTTATGTGCCTCTTCTCCCACAACTGTGAGATCCTTGAGGGCCGAGGCTGTATCTTACTCTGCTCTCTATACCCAGAACCTACCACAGAGCTTAGAACATGGTAGGAGTTCAGGAGTCACTTGGCTAATGAATTAATTCATGCACTGAATGAAGTAACACACATAGTCTCTGTGCAGAGATGTTACTTCTAACGATGAAAACAAGCAATACTGAGAAAGCCCTCGATGCACATATATGAGAAGGGATGATTATAACTGGCTATTACATTTTTAAACTACATACGAGCTGCTTTCTATGTATGCAGAGGTATATATGCCTGAAGCAAAAGCTAGTAAACAACTCTTGAAAAGTTCATTAAATAGAAGCCAGTTTTCATTTTCATTGCAAAAGGGAATCATTTAGAGCCTAAATAAATTCTTGTGTCTTTCCAGAGAACCGAATTTTGATAAAAGATAACTAGGCTGAGTACTCACAAAGTTTTATAGTAAGAAGAAACATTTATTCACCTTATAAAACACATTTACAAACTATCTCATTAGATCCTTACGACAGACTTACAGCAAGTAAAATAAATGGTAGGTTAGCTTTATTATGCAGGTAAAGAGATTATAGCGCAGAAGAATTTGACTTGCTCGGAGCAATAGTGAATGAGGTTGGGGAAATGATCCTGTCGTCTGTATACTCTCCACAGTCCCACACATTGATGCTTAAGATATTTTTTTCCCCAACCCAGATCCCAACTCTCTTAAGGTGTTTCTTCTTGGAGACAGTACTGCGGTGCTTTGGCACCTGAGGGACCTGAGTCTCAATTCCTGCTACAAATACCTATCAGCTATGTGAACTTGGGTAGTTCACTGAGCCCCAGTAATAATCTGGACCTCAGTTTTTCATTTATAAAATGATGCTTACCTTGTAAGTTTATTTTGAAAATTAAGTAAGATGTGAGATGCCTAGAATGGGTTAGTCCTCTCCTGCTGCTCGTGGATCTCAGCTTAGCAAAAGGATTTTATATGCAGCATCTGTTAGAACATCTCGTACTTAGGGGCACCTGGGTGGCTCAGTCATCGTTAAGCATCTGCCTTTGGCTCCGGTCATGATCCCGGGGTCCTGGGATCGAGCCCCGCATCGGGCTCCCTGCTCCGCGGGAGGCCTGCTTCTCCCTCTCCCACCCCCCCTGCTTGTGTTCCCTCTCTCCCTGTGTCTCTCTCTGTCAAATAAAAAAAAGAACATCTCGTACTTAGGTAATCAGAATAATCTGATGGCTGGCTGCCAGATATCACTCAGATTTTTAGAAGCTATCTCTGTTCCCAACTCAATGGCTTATCCAACAGCAGACACTCTCATATGGATATCATCAAAATGGTGTTCGTGAGGCAAGGGGAAGCAGCGGAACTGGGCTTTAACCCCTTAAAGGACCAAACTTCTTTGGGGCTTTGTGATAGCAGCTGTAGGTTTTTGTTCTTTAGGGTAAATGTGTGACAGTTGAATTCAACGGTTAGCCCTACAAACAAGATACTTCTTTTAGAAACTACATACTTGCAATAAGCAGTTTTACTAAGTAGGGCCAGCTTTAGTTCAAGTTCTTCACTTCCCTGGGTTACACCTCTATAGTTGCAGAGGCCTGACGAATGCTGACGCGAGCCAAGCTACTCATGCTGTTTGACAAGGTCCAAGTATGGGGGACGATCCTGAAAACAGGAGACTCCACAGCTGGCTCCTGCTATTCTCTTTCATTCTGTTTATGGCAATCTTTATAATTGTGGGAATATTTCTGGGGTTTCATGATAAAGTGACTACTCATCTTAGTTACGCCTATCTAAGCAATCATAATGAAGCTAATTCCACGAGGCCCCCCAAGCGCCTCAGAAGCGGCAAGATTCTAAGAAAGGAACAGCTTAAACTGTTCCACAGTTCACTATATTTCCTGCGCTATAGAACAAAGTAACAAGACGGTCACGCTCTGTCTAGCACCTTTCTCTTTGCGTATTGTTTTTTAGTTTTAGCGAAAGTCAGTAAGCGGAAATCAATAAAGGTCATGTTAATCATTACAAAGGAAAGATGAAAGAAGGATGTCTGTAATCCAGAAAATGATCTAAGATGATCTCGATAAATTGTAAAAAAAACCATAATCACATGTTACGAAAGTATGGAAAAACAAAAAAAATCCTAACATATAAATAAAGTTCCTCCAAGGCTGTCAGGAGGAGATGCTTGCAACCTGATCCTGTGTCTGTGTTTCCTCATTCGCCGACGCCGTCCTGTCCTACGAGAGACCCACCCCGGCTGGAGCTGGACTCCGGCAGAATGCCACGATAGAACTAAACATTACCTTTTTACAGATGTGTCAATAATCTTAGAATTTGGCTTGACTGGGGGCGCCTGGGTGGCTCAGTCGGTTAGGCAACTGACTCTTAATCTCAGCTCAGGTCTTGATCTCAGGGTCGTGAGTTCAAGTCCCATGTTGGGCTCCACACTGGGTGTGGAACCTACTTAAAAAACAGACAGACAAAAAATTTGGCCCCACTGGAGACACGGCTACTAGTCACCACTTTGGTGGTGATAGCTCTAGGGAGAAACAAATGGGAGTCTAGGAAGGGCACAGATTAGAAGAATTTGCCTAATACCATTAACCAAGACTGAAAGGCTTACAAGAACAGGATAGACAGATGTTCCATTCCAAGGGATACTGTGGGGTCTGGAGGTGGGATCTAAGCAAGGAATAGAGGAAGTTGAGAACATTTCACTGGTAGAAGGGAAGGGGAAAAGATGATGACCATCAGGCCAGTGTTCCCCAAATATGAGTGACAGACTATCAGCTTCCTGTGGGCGGGCTCCAACCTCAGCTTACAGCTGACTAAACAAGAGAGCACATTCCCTTAATTGGAGGGAGAAAAAAAGGAAGATAGGAGATGTTGAAAGAATTGCCATTTACACTAGTCCGCTGAAGAGGAAGTATTGTTTTCTGTATTAGTATAAAAATATTACAAACTTCAAGCCACCCCAATTAGGCTTCTGTTTCCAACAGCACACTGAGATGGATCTTGGTCTCCAGTGACTTTTTCCGTCTAATAAACACTTCACTGTCCTTCTTACTTGACCCCAAGACAGAATTAGGCATAGCTGGCCACTAGATCCTTTTTGAAATTCTTGCTCTTGGCTCCCTTAACCCCCCACTCTAGTGTTTCTCGTCCCTCACTGACTGCATCTCCTTGACTGGGCCTCTTTCTGTTGGCGATCTCCAGACGTAGGTTCTGGACCCTCTTTAACCTTCTCCTTAGGTGACCTCATTCT